GCCACTCCCACTGTAGCATTGTTTCAAAAGCAACATGAGAAAGCTTCTTGTAATGATAAAATACTCTAAAATTTTGATTCTGAGTGAAAAATTATAGTTCTTAATAGAGTAATGTGGAAGACCATAGATTTATTTTTAGCAAATTTTAATGAAGAAATATAATTGGCTAATAACAGGTATCACTATGATTCATTCTAATGTCAGAGAGGATCATAGATGGGAGAAATGCAATTCATCTGCTGCTGAGTAGTTTTCAGGCAACATTTCATGTACTGAATAAGAAAAAAATTTCTACTTGTATACTGATGTATACTGATATGCTATTGATGCTGGCTACTCAAATTATCTATAAACAGTGTAATAGACTTTTTAAAAATATATAAAAATACTTCCAATATCTCCCTTTGTTCAATGATTGGAGCAGTCACGAACTCAAAAGCAAGCAATTTTACTCATTTTCTCCTGGGCCTATATAAAGTAATTCAAGCAAGCAATTCCGATCAAACTTGATCAACAGATAAAAGCAAATATTTGCTATGTACCTACCACATACAAGGTATTATGCTATGCTATGTATACATACACACATATCAGCTGGGTGGCAAGTATATAGAATGATAGAATGCTCGGCCTGGAGTCAGGAAGAATTGAGTTCAAATCTGATCTCAAATATTTATTGTGATCCTGTGACAACAGCAAAATAGATATATAGAAAAATATACATATATACATGTGTGTATGTGTGTATGTATATACATGTATATGTATATATATATGTATACACATGCATATATTTATAGACATAGCTAGATCTATCTCAGCCTTATTGCACATTATATCCTTTCAGGCCCTCATATTCCAGCATACTTTCATGACTACATTTTAACCCAATCATCCTATTTATTGTCCTCCATACACAACATTCTATCTCTTACCTCTGCCTTTTTGAGTAAACCATCTGCCCATGCCTTTCTTTCTTTGTCTTAGCTTCTTTGATGCCTATTCCCCTTCTAAGCTTATGTCAAGTGCCAATGCCTACATGAGGCCTTTCTGGCAAATTTCCCATTATTGGCAGCTTTCAAAGGAAGAAATTTAAGGTATTAATAGCTATATTCTAAAACGCTTTCATCACTACTAATTAGAGAAATGAAAAAAAATTACTGTAGAGTTCTTACCTTATACCCATAAAATTGGCAAAGATGAGAAAAAAAAGAAGTCACTAAACTATGCATACCCTTTGACCCAGCTTTATCACAACCAAGCCTAGAGATCAAAGAAAGAAGAAAAAGACCCATATATACAAAAATATTTTAAGAAGGAGCCTCAAGGAGGTTATATTCTAAGGAAGGGATATAGCATCTAAACAGACAAGCAAATAAATACAAAGTATATTTAAAATAACACTAAGTAATTTGAAGCAGGAGAGAGCACTAATACCTTGGAGTGGCACCTGAAAGGTCTTGTGAAGGATGTGAGTGAGGCATGAGTTGTTCTTGGGATTCTAAGGGGTTGGCATGAGAACAGATGCATTCCTGGCATAGAGAACTATCCTTAAAAAGGCATGGAAGTGGGAGATTTCTTCCTAACTTAATAGAAATGCAAAATTTCAACAATTAATGAGTTAGTTTTAAGTCCTCAATCATACTTAAACTACATACACCTCTTTTCCCATAACCTTTCTCTCTTAATGCCCCCTAGTCTTGTTTTAGACAAACATCAGTGTTACTAGGTAATTAACTTATTAACAGTGTCACAAACAGTACAAAGACATGAAAACATTTTAACAATGTGTCAGTTGCAAGAAAGAGCATAGTTGGAGTCATCTGACATTTTGTAGACCAGTAGATTATGTACCACAAAATACAATTTGCCTTAGAATGACTAAAGCAGAAAATTCTGGTACTTGTGCACATCTATGGAAAGTAAGTACCTTGTCAGGAAACACGAAGTTATTTGACAAGATTGGGAATACAAATTTATACCCCCCCCCCCAAAAGAAATAAATAGACCAACCAAGCTAAAACTTCCAAAGATGCCAAAGCAAAATAGGATGTTGCTTACGTTTAGCATGAAGGATAGGTGAAAATTTGGGCCTATTCCAACACTATTTGAACATTTTTTCATACCCATTGAACAAAACCATGGCATGACAAAGCTGTGATTACTTTGCTCCAAGCAGAAGGTCAAGCATATTTGATTTAGAAACTGTTTTTTTTTTATTCTCTGTGAATTTTAATACATTAGCCAAAATGCTGCCCTGGAAATGAAGGAGGTGGGGCAGAGATTATAGACTGACTGAAATAGTGGTAATTTAAAGATTACAGGAGAGTTAGACATACATTGTAATACTTTATTTAGGAACTGGAGGGGATTTTGGAAAGGTCTAGGAGTATTAAGGATTGTAACATACTTGTACATATTATTCCCATTCCTTGAGGATATTTTGTGGCTAAAATGGGAATATGATTTTATAGGTATCTAGCTGCTCTCTGCCAGAAGTAACAATTTTAAGTGTATGGGGAAAAGCCATGATAACCAGTAGTGGGGAGGGTACCCAGAGGGTAGAACTGTTAACAATGGGTGACAATTACAATCAGGCAACCAAGGCTCATGTAAGTATCAAAGTGTGATCAATTAAATCAATCAGCTACCCTGCACCTCAATTGAACTAACTAATAAGATTACATCCTAATTCCTCTATCAAGCAGAACACCTCTATGCAATCAATCAACCAGTCAATCAAGGATATTAAACTAGTCCGTGGTTAATTGTGAATGCTATTAGATGAAATTATGCTGGATAGGAAATATATTGAGATTTCCTAGTGAGACTCCATCATACCCTGTGGGTGTTGTATAAATCAGCAATCCAGTTCAGAACCCAGCATTTGAATATTGGGCCAGCCTAAGTCCTTAAAAAGAAATCCCTGACAAGGGGGTGTGGGGTAGGAGATGAACCTCTGTTACTGCCTACTTCCTTTGACCAGAGGATGAGTATATGAACTTCAAAGGGGCAGAACATTTAAACTTCTCACTGGCATCCTAATAGTGTCCCTGAAACTAGTGACTGATAGCAGTGTGTGTAGTAGGGACTAAGAATAATCTAGAGATGCTGAGAAAAGGCAACTTTGGAATACTATAGCACTGTCTGAACTGATGAAGGGATTAGTTTAAAATCTCCTTCCCTAAACCTAGGCTGAACTAGAACCCAAGTTCCATCAGATGCCAGAGCTACCTCTGGCTTCTCTCCTTCTTTGCCCACTGAACTTCTTGTGACAGAACTTAAACCAAGGCACAGATAAACCAATTATTTCCTGTTTCCCAAGAGAAACTCCCTGAATCCGTTCCACTCTCATCATGGCTTCAACCTTCCACAGCTCCTCTGGCTCTGTCTTAATTCCTTAAAGCTGCTGAAAAATTGTTTACATCCCCTGACTTGGGCAAAGTCCCCATCACCCTGCCCTAGTTTTAGCTCTTAGTAAAATCAGCTCACAGGAAAGGAGGCTGTTTACATGGGGCCTTACATACCAATAAAAAAATGTTGAGATCTAATCTCTGTTAAGATGGGGATATTTACACAAGGCTTTGTAACCTTCCCTCACTTATATTTATCTTAGAGGCAAAAGTGGGTCTGAGAACTGATGGGATTTCTGAGATTTGTAGAAAAGCATTTCCTCTCAGCCATGAGAATGATTTTTGGCTCTTTTTGAGTTGAAGGTAGTCTTAAGTCACTTATTGAGAGGTTTGGAAGAGATCAGACTGAGAGGAAGGAGCTGGACTTACATGAGCTGAACAGTAATAGTAGGAAGAGAAGGCAACAACAATATGAATTGGAGAGAAGTAATGGCACAAAAACAATAGGTGAAGAAAGGGAAAGGAAGGAAAGCTGAGCTCCAAGGGAAGGGAGAGCTAGAGGTGAACATCTTGGAATGAAGAACTCCCATTGAGGTTGATGGTTGTAAACTCTACTTCAAGGATTGAGGGAAGTTCATTTTCTGGCTTCCCCTTGCCTGAGACTGTCTAGTAAGAGGTATTTTATACTCTTCTCAGTTATCTTACTAAGTATTTCCTGAATCCTGATTTTGTTTCATATATAAAGAAACCTGGGGCCAGTTATAAAGCCTTGTCTTATGTACTTAGTCTAAACTGAGAAAATGGAAATGGAAGAAACCAGTGTTAGCTGAAAATCTGTAAAATTTAAATTGGGACAGAGAGCCAATTTAATGTTAGGAAAAAATCCTAACTGGGGGCTTGGAGCTACTGTGATTGTCTTAATAACTTCATTTGATTCAAATTCTATAAATAGTTAGGGAAAGGGACCATGTGGAACTGAGGGTCATTACATTGCCCCTAGGCTAAAAGCAAGCTAATTTTGTGATTGGGTGTATCATATTATCTCTAAAGGGTAGAGAAGCAAAGAAAAGGGTACAGTGACTGAAGAAAAGATCTCTCCCTAACCCACCCCATAGGGAGAGGACAGCCTATGCTTGGGAAGGATTCAGCTCCACTCTTTTTCAGAAGGGAGGATGGAGCAAAAAAAAAAAACCAAGTACTGCATGGCCAACTCTATAACAATACCCAGCAGTATTACATAAATATCCATTTTTCTTGGGGTTAAAATCAATAGCATATAACTTATGACATTGTTTCATAACTTCAAAAACTAAGTTCAACCATATTATCTCTTCAATGGCTTATACCATAGATTGCTCTAGTATATGCAGGAGTTTTGCCAAAAATCAAGAAACTGTTTCCAAAGAAGTCGTAATCAATTATATTATAACTTTAAAAATCAATATGCATAAACACATTTGTTCATTAAAACCCACTGAATTTTGGTTAATTCTTTACTTGAAGAATGATTTAATTCTTCTTTGGGCAGCTTCCTTGACAATAATTTATAGTGACACCACCATTTTGAGACAGAAAGAAATAGATATCTTTATATATCCTTTAAAAAATTAGCCTTCAGTATTCTCTAACAGTATGAAAAATTATTACCTGGGCATATGTGTCCCGATTGGCCTGCAAACCAACTTTTACAACCTCAAAAGGATTAACTACAATAGCTTCTGTTAGTCCAGATCCCAATCCTGCAACAGCAAATGCCTAAAAAAATTAAATAAATCAGTATTTTAAAGCAAGTTATTTGTACCATGTTAAATCACTATAACCCTGCAGCTAAATGTTATGATAAATATGAAGAGATCTATACAAATAGACAGTATACCATTACTAAATAGCTTTAGTCCTTGATTAGATGCTGACAATTCATGACAAAGAAATTACAGAAGCCACAAACCACATTCTAAAAATTCAAAATAAAATGTCAAGTCTATCAACAACAATCTCTTTCCATTAGCCAAGAAAAAGGCCACATTACTGATTTAAGATGTATGTTAAAATATGACCTTATATTCAATTTGATTAGATTTTGAACTTATAAAGTGAGAACTTCATTTTTAAACATTTATTTAAATGTACTTTTCAGGGCTTAAATAACAGAGCTAAAATAAAGTGTTATTTTGTTCTGTTTTGTTTTTTACTTAGAATTCAGGTAATCTACAGATTAGTTTGAAATATTTAAGAATGTATTCATAGTGACCATATTTCTATGTAAAAATTAAATACTGTTATAGCTAACAATATAGCTTTCACTAATTTGAAAAAAAATATTCATTTTCATGTAATTGCCTTAGTTTTTAGGACCCTGGTAAAATGTTAAATCAGGAATAGCTGAATTGCCCTACATCATGAAAATAAAAACTAGAAATTTTATGAAAGAATAGTTATAGGGGAAATAGCAACGTTAGCTGTTGAGAATTTCTGCCATAGGAAGGTACAGTTTTTTGCATAAACACTTTCCATGCACAATATTCATTTGTTATTTCAAATCTCTGAAATTATATGTAATAAAATACATTCAAGAGATAGATTTAATAAGTAAAGTAAATGTATATGTATCTTTGCAATATTTCATTTCAAAAAGATCAACAGAAATGTTGCCAATTTTACATTATATAAAATGAACATTTATGAAAAGTGAAAAATCACCCTAATTCACTCTCTCTTGCAGCTACATGATATAGAAGGAAATATGGTAGATTTTCATCAAAGGTACTAGGTTCAAATTCTGGATCTGCCATTTACTACTACCTGTGAAATCATGGGTAAATCATTCAACTTCTCTGGGCCTCAGTTTTTTTACCTATAAAGTCAAGGGGGTTTGACTACAGGACCCTAAATGTCCTTCTACCTCCAAATTTATGACTTTAGGTGTTATTTTCTGATTTTCAGTAGCTGTTTCTCTTCAGTGTCCAGTATTACTGATTCTTTCTCTCTATATAGAATTATCATTTTTATTATATTGGCTTGGTCTACCTGTGAGTGATTAATATTTCTCCTATTGTTTAGCTCTTTAGATCTGCCTTTATTTGTGTGAAAAAGTGTTTTGTAATTGTGCTCCTGTAGTTCCTAGGTTTACCTTGGCAGGTAGACTCCCAAGTATTTTATACTGTCTGCAGTTATTTTAAATAGAATTTCTCTATCTCTTCTTGTTGGGTTTTGTTGGTAATATATAGAAACACTTTGGGTTTATTTTATATTCTGAATAAGGTTACTAATTGTTTCGACTAGTTTTTTAATTGACTCTCTGGCATTGTCTAAGTATATCCTCATATTTGTATTGATTATTTCTTTTGACAATAACTACTCCTAGGAACACTTATTGGAAGTTCTACCATCTTGGCTTGTCTTTGGTGGATACCTATGTTTCTGCCAGATTATGTGTTTATATGTATAAAAATACCCACATATACCCACATATACATATTTTCATATGCATGTGTATATATATCAGGGCTATAACTATCAGAGCTAGGATTAAAATCCATGTTGTCAGACTTTAAATTCATCACCATTTCCATTCTGTTGTGTGATTTACCCAGGGCCACATAGCTAGTAAGTATCTGAGGCCAGATTAGAAGAGTTTAAAATCACTATTTTAATTAAGTATTGAAATAGTGTTGTAGTCATTTCTCAAAAAGCTCTTGTAGTCATTATTTCACAAACTAATTTCATTCTAGAATCCCCAAATCTTAAAGTACCATTTTTATTACAAGTCAAATAAAGGCTAAAAACAAGCATGTTTATGTTCACACACATATGTGCAATGTAAAAGTATATGTGTTTTGGTTTTAAGTTTTTACATAAATACTGTATGTATTTTGCATTATTGAATCATATCCATGCAAGCTTTCCTATGCATTTTATTATCATAGGTTTGTTTCTAGGATTGAAATTATGTTAGTAGGAAGATGATTTTTAGTAAATTACTCAACATTGAATAACTAGCCTTCATTTTTAGCAGCCAAATTTTAGGAATCAAAAAGGCATCTTGTTTTAGATTTTGCTTTATGAAATAACAGGCACAAGAGTACAGTAAAGACTCTTACCAATCCTGGTGACAATGACACATATCCAAGTAATTTCTTATACTGTTCAAAGGCAAAAAACTATAAAATGAAACAATAACAGAGATTGGTAAAAATTTTTCTCCCAATAAGACACTGAAATGAATTAAACTTCAGGTTGTACTCCTTCCAATAAGATATTAATTAATCAGTACCTTAAAATGATGTGCTATTTCATATGAAATATGCCACATGACTTCTAATTTTTAGTCTGTTTTCAAGTAATAGCCATTTGGATCTTACTCTAACATTCACATTTTCAAATTCTATCATAACCTGCAAAATAACTGATGGAATCCTTTATGGGGGTAAATGAACCATTCAGCTTCCATTTACCATGACCATTTTCAGTTCAGACATCAATAGACTTCTTTTTGTGATAGTGATTCAAAATTATAGGCTTAAAGGCCTAAAGCCTTCGGTCTTCTATGTTTTCTAAATGAACTGCTTTCCCTATGAATGCTCAAGTTTCTAACCAATGTATGTAAAAATCCACCTCTCTGCCTTAATTGCATTAATAAATTAAATAAATGAAATAATTAATTAATTAAAATTAAGTCAATACTATTTTTGTTTCCCAATTATTCTAAGAATATTGTCATGAACTCAATGAATGTTTAGGGATAGTGAAGATCCACATATGTAGGTGGAGATCTAAGGTCCCACCTTCAAGCAGGATTTCACTTAAACTACATTACAGAGAAAATTATGTATTGATTGATTTAAGATCTTCAAAGGTGGAGACTATAAACTCCTATGAAAATGACAGAAATGATGGGTGTGACTTCAATAGAAATTGAATAATGTAATTTCTTCCTAAACCAACTTCCATGTGAAATACTTCCAACCAACTGTTTAGTCCATGAATTTTCTATTTGGGGCAACAATCCTCAAATTTTTAACTCCTAGCACACAGCACAATTAATTCCTGGGCTTAGGGTAGATATATTCAGGATGTCTGTTGCACTATGTACTACTCTTAGAAGCTGTTTTTTGGACCCTAATTTCATATTCTAATGAGATCATTAAAAGACATATAACCTGACCTGAAAATATGCCCTACTTTATTATGTTGTATGCTATAGACAGAGCGAGAAACCATACATATAGAAATACATATACATACATACATGTGTGCATATGGGGGGGGAGAGAGAGAGATTGAGAGAGAGAGAGAGAGAGATTTCCATTCTGAGGTCTCATCAGGGTGTGGAAGTGGCCATGGGGTCTTGAACATTATGCCAGCAGACTGCAAGGTCTAGAAGGTATTACCACACTAGAAAGGCTTAAAATCTGGTCCCACCAACAGTATGTGTTTCCAAGGAGTGACTTAGCTAACCTCAAATAGATTTATCATCAATGAGTTGGTCACTTGGTATTTCATTTTTTGATCTTGGCCGCCCATGAAACAAAGAAATCTATAATCTCTAAAGATAAATAAAACCATATAGATAGATATACATATGCTCCAATTTATATATGTTTGAGAATCAAGCATTGGGTACCTTTATTTACCCCCTCCCCCCACCCACACACACTTTATGTGTTGTCTCCCCCATTAGAAAGTAAGCTCTATTTAGGTAGGCACTGTCTTTCTTTCTGATTGTATTTGTTGTATTTTTAGTACTTAGCATATAGTAATCACTTAATAAATGCTTGTTGACTTGTCAACTCCAAAGTAAAATCTATTTACTAGCTTGTGAAGGTGGCTTCTTCCTTCTTCCTTGGAAATACTAATGCTAATTATTACCTCCTTGGAAACCTAATCTACAGAAGATAGAATAAATCAATACTAACAAAGAGAAAAGCTAAAAATGGCATCATTGTATTTGTGTTATTAATTAATTTTCAACAATAGTAAAATCAGGCCTTCTAGTTTGAAGGCCATATGGACTAAAATGATATATTCATTTATCACTATTTTCTAAGTGTCTACTATTGTGAAAGATATACTAGGTATCAGGAAAAAACATTCTTTGGTTTGCTATTTGGTTTTCATCAAGTTAACACTATGTAATCTTTTTTTGAGGCAAAAAAAGAAAAAAGAAAATCCTAGAAAGCTCTCATATAAGAGTATGGCTCTTTAAAATTTTTTAATTTATTTTTCTTTAGTTATACTCTTCATCTTTAACGACCATTTTTATTACCCAGTAATCAATATCTTAACTTTGGAATTAGAATGGCTCTTATATAAGATTGTTTAGATTTATATTTTTTTTTAAAGATAGCTAGCTAGCTAAAGCATTTATTTAGCATTTAATATATGCCAGGCACTGTGCTATGGGCTAAGGATAGAAGCAATCAGGACAATTTCTGTCCTCAAGGAGCTTACATTCCAAAATGTACTTAAGAAAAAAAAGTGTAAGCTGGAGTTCAAGTCTCAAAAGTAGAGCACAATTAATCATCAATTCTATTTCACATTGTTAATATTTTTTCAAAACAATTGATAACGAAAGATTCTTAAAAATCAAACATGCCACGTTGTTTTATTCAAGTTACATTTGATACTATTTAATGAAACAATTTATGCTTTAAAAATGATTATAGTCAGTAAATACCTTTAAAGTGAGTATTTTCATATATTGTGTCTAAAAACTAGTGCTGTCCATCTGGCAAGTAGGTATTTAAATCCAAGTTATGCTTAAAAAGCTTACCACATGCCTTAGTAATTTTCAGGTAAAATGTACTTGAAACAAGATGTCTGGTACCCAGACACAATGTACAGTTGCCCAAAAGTTCATCTGTTAATCATTGTTCTGGCAGCATACTTTTCCCACTATATCAGTAGAAGCTTACTCAATTTGGTAAACTTCAACTTTTTTTCCCAACTAAAAAGAGTGCTCAACTTTGATAAATGTAAATCCCGTCAAAGTTCAAATTCTTTACCATATTTAGTAACAAGAAGAACTAGACCAGGAGAATAAATGTTACAATTTATTTTATTTGTGTATGCAAATTTCTATAGAGATGAATATATTACTTTGCAGAAACAAAGCAACTTTTATTTTGAAAAAGAACTCTGCCTTGTTTGATTATCTGGGTATCCTTTATTAGTGAAGCAGTTACATAATTCAATTCAGTACTTTTGTTTACTTTGGTGTACTTTTCCCCCAGATTTTCCGCAGTAACTCAGATCATCATGGCAAACTTCCTCCTGAAGTAATAGTTAAGATGTCACAAAAACTTAATAATTTCTAATATGGAAAGACAAATTAAAGTATTATTTCAATATTTTCATTGAGTTACAATCTTGAATCAAGCGACACTGTTACTTTTTAATATAGTGCAAAGTTTTGTATATGTTTTTATGTATGTGTATGTGTATTTTTTTCTTTTGTCACACTCTTTCATAACCTTATTATATTTCTAGATGGCACCAAAAACTAGGGATAATGTTTGTCCCTTCCAACCTTTTAATGAAATGAAATCTTTCTACTTTGTCAAATTTATTATTATCATTGTGGGTACTCTCCACAAATGTAGATCTCATTCTGCCTTCTAATTCTATTTAATTATTGTCTGTATCTTCCTATGAATTTGTTAAAAAATATTTGTTGATAACTTCTGTTTTTATACCAAAATCATTTATAGATGCTTGTTCCCCTCTCCCACCTCCTCCCTGAAACTCAACCCAGGGAAACCTTGCTCTATAACAAAGAAAAGTAGTCAAGCAAAATTAAAATAGTGAACCATATGTAGCATAATGTTGAACATTCTATCCATATAGTCCTCCATATCTCCAAGGAAAAAAAGAGAGGTTCTTTTCTTTAATTTTTCTCTGGGACCTAGATTGGTCATTATAGTCACAGACTGTGGCTTTATTTTAATGTACTTCTCATTTACCCTATTGACTTCAATAATGTGTATATGTGTATGTGTATATTCAATAATTGTTTTCCTGCTTCTGCTACTTCACTCTGCATCCATTTATACAAATCTTTTCTTGCTTCCCTAAACTCTCCATATTGATCATCTCTTGTGGTAAAATAATATTTCATTAGCATTTGTCAAACAAAAGGTTCCTCATTCACTACTGTGTACTGTGTGTCTACTCCGTTCCACTGATCCACCTTTTTACTTCTTAGCCAGTACTAGATAGTTAAAATTTTGTTGTTGTTGTTGTTCAGTCATTTCAGATGTGTCCAACCCTTTGTGACCTCATTTGGAGTTTTCTTGGCAACCATAGTGGAATGGTTTGCTGTTTCCTTCTCCACTGCATAGATGAGGAAACTGAGACAATGTTAAATGACTTGCCCAGGCTTACACAAACTGGAGTCTGAGGCTGCATTTGAAGTCAAGTCTTTCTGACTCCAGACTGGCTGCACCATCCAGCTGCCCTATTTTGATATTTATCATCTTTTAATATAGGTTAAGATCTGGCACTGCTAAACCCTTGTTTTATGTTTTCATTAATGTTTTAAATTAATTCTTTTGATATTCTTGACCTTTTGTTCTTCCAAATGAATTCCATTATTTTTTTCTAGCTCAATAAAATACTTTTTAGATAATTTAATGGGGATGGCATTGAATAAGTAAAGGCTTTGCCCACTCATGCACAATTAATATTATTTCCAATTATTTAAATCTGACTTCATTTGTATAAAAAGTGTTTCATAATTATGTTCATGTAGTTTCTGAGTTTTACTTGGCAGGTATTTTCTGCTGTCTATGGTCATTTTAAATGGAATCTCACTATCTCTTCTTGCATGTATTTGCTGGTGATATATAGAAATGCTGATGATTTATATGGGTTTATTTTATGTCCTGCTATTTTACTAAAACTATTAATTGTTTCAATTAGCTTTTTTGTTGAATATCTAAGATTTTCCAAGTACATCATCCATTATCTGCAAAAAATGAGGTAGTTTTATTACCTCACTGTCCATTTTGATTTCCTCAATCTTTTTTTTCTTATTGCTATTGTTAGCATTTCTAATACAATATTGAATAATATTGGTGATAATGGGCATCCTTGTTTCACTCCTGATCTTACTGGGAAGGCTTCTAGCTTACTCCTGTTATAAATAATGCTTGCTGATCAT